TCTCCACGTCTTCCTCCCACTGAGCTGCTGCTGGGTGGGTTCAAACCACCAGCTTTTCAGTTGGCAGCTGAGTGCTTAACCGCTCTGCGTCACTGTGTGATGGGCATTTTAGGCATGAAGAACATGCTCATGTAGTGGGGAACCATAGAACCCCAGGGGTTGCAAGAAGGCAGGTGTTTGTGACTAATTGTATGGAGAGGGAGATGGAGGCTGGGGTGGTGGCGGAGTCCAGACAGAGTCTTATAGGCCATAGTAAGGCCCACAAGGTGTTTTAATTTTTGTCTTTATCCCAAAGTGCCACTGAAAAGTTTATTGTAGGGAGTTGAGAAGCTCACATTTTGAGTAGCTGGAGAGGAACCCAAGTAGATTGATTAACTGAAACCGTGGATGAGGACAGGACCTTTGGGGAGAGACTGGAAGGTAAGAAACCTTAAAGAACCAAGCCTTGAAGGAGATAACTTGCAAAGGAGACCAATTAAGGGTCAGAAGTGTAAGGAAGGAGAAGAACCAGGAAAGTCTTGGAAGAAAAGAAATTACTTATTTCAAGGAGAAAGTGGTCAGCTGTGCTGAAAGCTACACATAGTCCAAAGAGATGGGACCTAAACTGTTAACTGGCTCTAGGAGCATTGGGAGCTCTGGTGGCGTAGTGCCTAAGGCATCTGACTGCTAACCAGAAGGCTGGTGGTTCAAACCCATCAGCCACTCCTTGGAAGGAAGGTTGGGCAATCTACTTCCGCAGTGATACTGCCCCGGAAACCCAAGGAGGAGTTGCTGTGAGTCGGATCCAACTTGATGGCAGTGTTTGTTTATTTTTTAAGTAACATTTGAAGATGTCCTTATTGGGAGCTCTTTAGGAAGGAGCACAGGAAGTGGAGAGAGGAGGATCTGTTAGAATTAGCTGAGAGGAAAAAACTGGGCAATGAGAGACTGAAAGGTGGGAGGTCGGAGGAGAATACAGCTAACTGTGTAACTACCTGAGAGAGACGGGCCCTAGAGTTGGCCTCAAGGGGGTTTGAAATCAGCGAAGGTGCAGGGTAATGGAGGGAAAGGGTAAGCTCATGTTTAGTGTGAGAAGCTGCTCTCCCTTCTTGTACAGGGAAGCGGAAGGGCATTGGCTGAGCGAGGACAGATGGGGGAGGGGTGCTGGAGGTGAGTTGACAGGAGTTGGCATAGTTGTGAGGTGAGTGGAACAGTGAGTTGACCAGAGGAATGTTTTAGGATGGTCGGCAGAGGGAGCCAAGTGTAGCAAAGGCCAGAAATGAGCTCCCTGGCTTATTCAAAGGATTGCAAAACAGTGTGTGTGTGGGGGGGGGGGGGACTTGGAAGCTGACTAGAAGGAAACCTGCATTTAACAGATGACGAAGGAAGCATCACTAGCACGGAAAGGATTGTTCAAAACCTGGGGCTCTGTCTCCTGGGATTCTCCACTTACATCCAAGTGCAGGTAATTCGAGGAATTCACTTTTAAATTTCAAACAAAAGTACAGGAGGAAATATGGATGAAATGTGTCTGATTGTCTGGTGCTTAACAGTCATAGGAACCGTAAAAAGGAGTTGTTGTTGTTGTTGATGATATCTGCTGTTGAGTCAGACCCAACTCACAGCGACTCCTCCTTGTGTTTCCGTGGCTGTATCACTACGGAAGCAGATTGCCCAGTTTTCCTTCCAAGGAGCGGCCGGTGGGTTTGAACCGCCAGCCTTCTGGTTAGCAGTCAAGTGCCTTAGGCACTATGCTACCAAATCAAAAAAGCCAAATGCACTGTCACATCAAGTCGGATCCGACTCATAGTGACCCCTCCTTGGTTTTCCAAGGTGATGTCACTATGGGAGTAGATTCCCCAACCTTCCTTCCAAGAAATGGCTCGTGGGTTTGAACTGCCAGCCGTCTGGTTAGCAGTCAGATGCCTTAGACACTACACCACCAGAGCTCCACTACTGCTACCAGAACTCCTAAAAAGGAGTTAGATTGCTTAAAATTAACTGCTTTGATATGCTGAAATATACCAGTAACAACTGAACATGAACTGAGAAAATATTTCCAAAAATGCAATTGTTAATCTTAATAGTTTATGCAAGTCCATTTTTAAAAAGCAGTGAGATTACAGTGTTAAAAAGGCAAAAGGAATTAAAGATTATCAGAGTAGTTTGAGAAAAGCTCAGCCTCCTGTGCCAGTCATAACATGAGGTTAAACTGGTGGTCTGTCACTTTTCACACATCACAATGACTGCTGATGACGGGCTCCTACTGCTCACACAAATGTCAGCTGAGATTGTCTTCCTGGGGAGAGACTTAGCAACCCAGCCTTTAGAGTGTTCACACATATGCTCTTCAGTAATTCCACTTGTAGGAGTCCATCCTAAAGGAAGAAAATATAAAATGTGGACAACTATTGAGCATAGAGTTGTTGTTGTTGTTATGTGCCGTCGAGTCGGCCCCAACTCATAGCAACCCCTCCTTGGGTTTCCAAGGCAGTATCGTTATGGAAGTAGATCGCCCGACCTGCCTTCTGAGGAGTGGCTGGTTTGAACTGCCAGCGTTCTAGTGAGCAGTCAAATTCCTTAGGCACTACGCCACCAGAGCTCCCAAAAGATACTTAGTTCCAGGTATTTCTGAATAATGGCTGCCATTTTTTGAGTCTTCGTAAGTACAGAGTTCTTAACATGGATTTTAACCCTCACGGTATCCCTGGAAGGTTTAGGCGCTCTTCTTTTCATTTTACATACAGACAGATGTTATTAACATTTATTGAACATATTAAACCAAACCAAACCCACTGCCATTGAATCGATTCCAGCTCATAGCAACCCATAGGTTTTCCAAAGCTTTACGGAAGTAGGTTGCCTCACATAGTGTGAGGCATTGTGCTAAGCTTGTTTAATCTGAGGCACTTTACCAACATCCCCCACGAGCTGGAGCCAGGACTAGGTGTGAGCACTGCAGAGCCCACAGCCTTCCTCAGTGCGTGGTGCATGTAGGGCCTGAGCTTGTGGGGCCACACACTGGGTGGGTGGGGGGCTCACGCCCAGATCTGCCCACGATCATCATCATGCTGTACTTCCACCTTCCCATTACAATTCATGATCTTTTTCAATTTGTTAAAAAAGACTTTATTATGCCGTCCTCTTGGCTAATGATATTAGGAATTATCTGAAGAAACTCTGGTTGACCCACTGGAAATAAAACAACTGTGCCTAAAATGATTTTAGTCTCCATATGCATTTCAGTCTCCAAATGAGCTGTCGTTACAAATAATAAACCAAAATGAAAAAGTTGTTACTTACTATTTTCTCTTACAGGATAATGTATTTGATTAGGCTGGAAAGTAAGCGTCAATCCTCAGCACATGCAGCAAGGGCATTTAGAGGCAGAGCCTGGGAACGGCTGTTCTGTGGCTTTCCCTTCAGAGGCGCAAGTAACATGGGAGGCTTGGGAGCCTGCCAACTCATCACACACATACAGTCCGGCACTGAACCCCCTCGTGGCCGGGCTGAAATACTTCGTACCACCCTCGGATCCGTAAAGTTAGAAAACAAAAAAAAAAAATTAGGTTTTGTGATGGTTAAGTTTGTGTGTCAACTCGGCTGGGCCTGGTTGAGTGGCTGGGCAGCTGATGTAGTATTCCCCATGATGAGACTGGTGATCAACTCCATGGTGGAATCTACTGTGGTCTGCTTCCTGTATATAAGGAGAAGCTCTGGGAATGGTCTCTAGCCTGTGACACGCTTGGACCCTGCATGTAGCTGGTGTCATTGCCCAGCAGCCTGCTACGCTCTGCCAACCTTGGGACTAACAATGGACTTAATAGCCTGCTGTGTGATTTGGTAACATCAGGTCTGTGCCTTTTTACTTGTCAACCTGGGGGCTTCTCAGCCTCAGCAGCCAGCAGCTGTCTGAGTGAAGAAAACACCTCTAGCTCCAATGGACCAGGAGCAGGAGGCAGAGCTGGACCCCAAGGTTGAGGGGCTTTCACCCAGCCCCTAGAGCCTGGCACTTTGAACTTGGACTTAAAGCCTCCAAATTGTAACAATAAACTCCTATTTGTTAAGGCCATCCCATTTGTGGTATGTTCCTGTCAGAGCAGCACTAGGGAACCAGAACAGGTGTGTTTTCATTACCAAAGACAACAAAATTAGTGGCAAAGGATATAAATGTGCTGGGCACAGTATGGCCCTCCCACGGTATCTAAGACGATCGAGCTGTGATGGCTGGGAGGCTGTTTTGCACGCAGGTTCACCATTCCACAACTAACCTCATTTCCTGTGCCTCCAAGGACAGTTTCCCCAGAGCAACTGTGCCATTTTCATCTTACCAGGCTAAGACTTAATTTCATCCTGGATTTTAAAAAAGGATTTTCATGTAATGCTAATAAGACTTTCATTAACTCATTTTAAATAAAACCAATTAATTTGATTTGCTTTTGGATGAAAGTTATCACCTAGAGTGAGCATAACAAAAGTATTTACTCCAAAATGAGAGATGAAGTGCCCTCCTTCCTTAGTAAGTATCTGCTTCAATTAACATCAACTGGAAAATGTAAAGCATTTCAAAAAGTATGTGTGTGTGTATGTAACACATGCCTCCTAAAGGGAACTGCAGCAGTGCAGAAAAGGCAATCTGTCAGAATAACACTGGAGATCTGGGAGCTTGGACCACCTATGAGCTCACTGTTCATCTATAAAATGCAAGTAACTACAAGGTCATTGCAAAGCTCAAACTGATAGTATATTTATAAATTACAAGATATCCAAGTTGTAACGACTGGGTATTTCAATTCAGTACATTTTTAAGAAGAGATACTTAATATTCCACCTGAGTAGTTTACCTCTTTGGAAACTTAAATCCATTTTATGTCCATCCTTGCCAATTACATCTCAGACTTGTATGCGTTTGTGTTCTAAAAGCCAACACCTCCTTTGTGAAACCTCCATCTTCTGTCTTCCAGGTGGGATGAGCACACTCTGAATCGCAGGGCAGTGGGAAGAGCCAGTGGATTACAGGCATGTTCTCGCTGGTACTGATGAGGTCCCAGCCCTACAGACTGTGTTCTCTCGGGAAGATGTTACCACCACCAAAACGCACACCTTGTCTAGCAGGCTTCATCTATACAGCTGGTAGATGGTCAAACAAAGAAAACAGCAGAACAGTCGAAAAGCTCTGTACATTTTCAGTTGACATAAGGAAAATTCGCAGACTAAAAGGATGGGTACTTTTGGAAGATGACACCTATGTTGAGGAGATCGTACATATTTTACAAGAACTGGGTGCTGATGACACTGCTATAGGCAGCATTTTGGAACGGTGCCCAGAAGCAATTGTCTGTAGTCCAGCCGCTGTTAACACCCAGAAAGAACTGTGGCAGCTGGTGTGCAAAAATGAAGAGTTAGTTAAGTTAATCAAACAGTTTCCGGACTCTTTCTTTAATGTTAAAGATCAGGAGAACCAGAAGCTCAATGTTCAGTTCTTTCGAGAGCTGGGACTCAGGAATGTTGTCATTAGCAGATTTTTAACAACTGTACCTAGTATTTTTCATAATCCTGTTGAGAATAATAAGCAAACGATAAAGATTCTCCAAGAGAGTTACTTAAATTTAGGAGGCTCTGAAGCCAACATGAAAGTCTGGCTACTAAAACTGTTAAGCCAGAACCCATTTATGTTGTTAGATTCTTCTGCATCTATAAAGGAAACACTGGAATTTCTCCAGGAGCAAGGTTTCACAAACTCTGAAATTCTTCAACTTCTGTCCAAACTCAAAGGATTCCTTTTTCAGCTTTGCCCAAGAAGTATACACAACAGCATTTCCTTCTCTAAAAGTGTTTTTAAATGCACAGATCATGACCTAAAGCAATTAGTTTTGAAATGTCCTGCCCTTTTATATTACCCTGTTCCAGTTTTAGAAGAAAGAATTCAGGGATTATTGAAAGAAGGGAGTTCCGTGGCTCAGATAAGAGAGATGCCGATGGTTCTTGAATTAACACCACAGATAGTACAGTACCGGATAAGAAAACTCAATTCTTTAGGCTTTAGGATAAAGGATGGACATCTAGCAAATCTAAATGGAACCAAAAAAGAATTTGAGGCTAACTTTGGTAAAATCCAAGCTAAGAAAGGCAGGCCAATATTTAACCCTGTGGCACCACTAAAGGCCGATGAGTAACTGAACTGATTTGTTGCTGCTTTCTGACAGTGAAGAGTGAAACATCAGCAGACTTCAACAGTTCAGGCTATTCGTAGGATCCAGTAATTGTATAAACGTAATTAGCTTTTGTGTTTAAATTAGCTCTAACGAATCTGACTCATGTACTCTATTTGAAAATATACACAATTACATTTATTTTAAACAAAAGTTGGTAACCTTGATGAGCTATTTAAAAAATACATACTATTAAATGGCATAATTTCTAAGAAACTGACAAGTGTGCTTCCTTAAAGTGACATTACATTTTTACTTAGCATGCTTCATCTGGTATGCAAGTCCAGTCTTCTCCCTCACCCCTAACCCTGAAACATCCCTCTGATCTGAATTCTGTTAAGTGTTCACAGAAGTATCTGCAAACTTAATTTTTCAGAGAACTTGCTTTCATCTTCTGGTTGGAGGAAATGCTTATCTTTATTATCCAAGAATACTATGTTCTACTAGAGGATTTTAAAGGAGCTTTGATGGTGCATTGTCTAAGACATTTGACTGCTAACCAGAAGGTTGGTGGTTCAAACCCACCAGCAACTCCACAGAAGGAAGACGGGACAATATACTTCTGTAAAGATATACCACTTGGAGACCCAATGGGGTTCACTAGGAGTCAGCTTGATGACAGTGAGTGGTTTTTTTGCTTTGGGAGGAGATTAACTAGAACCTACTGTGTGGCCATTATACCAAAAACATTTTTATGTGCTTTACAGGTAAGGAAATGGAAGCCTAGAGAGGTTGCTCAGCTGCCAAGTGGCAAAGCTCAGGTTTGCTAGGATCTGGTTTCTTCTCCAACCTCGAGAACAGAAATAATTGCTTATGCATTGACACAAGTGGTATCACCTTTACCTGACATGCCCAAAAGACTGACCCTCTTAACAAATTTAGGGACTTTACAAAAACTTTTCTGTGAAATTCCTTAAACTTGGAGTTACCTAATTTATACATTTGAAGTTAATGTAGCATTTTAAAAAGCTTCCTGAAGATCCAAGTCTGCTGTGGTAGTTGAGTTTGTGAGTCAACTTGGCTGGGGCTGGTTGAGTGGCTGGGCAGCTGGAGGTAGTATTCCCCATGATGAGACTGGTCATCAACTCCATGGTGGAATCTACTGGGAGCAGCTGAGTAGCAGCCTCAGGGAATGTGGTCTGCTTCCTGTATATAAGCAGCAGCCTTGGGGAATGGCCTCTAGCTTACAGCACTTTGAGCTCTATATGTAGCTGTGTTGTCATGCAGCAGGCTGCCACGCTCTGCCAATCCTGGGACTTACAATGGACTTAAATTAATGGCCTGCCATGTGGTTTTGTGACATCGGTACTGTGCCTTTTTGTCAACCTTGGGCTTCTCAGCCTCAGCAGCCAGCAGCTGTCTGAGTGAAGAAACGCCTCTAGCTCCAGTGGGCCGGGAGCAGGAGACAAAAGCTGGACCCCAAAGTTGAGGGGCTTTCACCCAGCCCCTAGAGCCTGGCACTTTGAATTTGGACTTAAAATCCTCCAAATTGTAAGGATAAACTCCTGTTTGTTAAGGCCATCCCATCTGTGGCATATACTCCTGTCAGAGCCGCACTAGGGAACCAGAACATCTGCTGAGAAGACAGTGTGTGATAGTACTGAGTTCAGTGGTATAGCATTCCAGGTTTCTGGGTCTGAATCTTGTTTGAAGATAATTACCCAGATAAAACCGGCTAACTTTCAGCTGTGTAGTTTGAACTTTGTAACAAATACATAAGCAAACAATTGACTCTGTCAGTCCAACAGCCCATCTATGCACTATGTGTGTCTGTCTTTTAAGTTAATGAAAAAACTCTGTATACTGCAGGCAATGAATCAGAATGCCCTCACCGTTGTGCAAGTCAAGTAACCCTATCAAAATCTGTTCAGTTCCTTCATCTGGATAGTGCTACGTTCATGCAGTGCCTGCTAAGTGCCAGGCCTATGTTGTAAGTACTCTACAAACCTGAGTTAAGTACCATTGTTGACTGTTCTACAGATGAGAGTATGACCACAGAGAGGCTAAGTAAGTCACCCAAGGTCACCAGATGCTGTTCAAGACAAAGAATGCCAGTGGTACAATGACCAAGAAAGTGGCATGAGATGAGGTAAGCAGGACAGGTCCATCCAAGGGGAAGGATCTCTCTCTTTTTTTTTTTAAGTGAAGTGGGAAATGCTTGGAGAGTTTTAAGTAACGTTTGCCTTTAAGGTTTACAAGAATAGTTGATACTGGTTGTCCAGACATCAGTTGTGCTCTCTTACTTTCAGAAGTGTCATTTAGAATACATTGTATAGTATAGTGGAGCTGTAGTGGCGTAAGTGGGTAAGGCATCTGGCTGCTAACTGGAAGGTTGGTGGTTCAATACCACTAGCTGCTCCAAGGGAGGAAGATTAGGTGATCTATTTCTGTAAAGGTTTACAGACCTGGAAACTGAAAGGGGGTTGCTATGAGTTGGAATTGACTTGATGGCAGTGGTCTGGGTTTGGATTTTGGGGTATATGGTGTATGGTGATCTTTTAGATTTCAACTTTCACATGCCTACTAAACATCCAAGTAGAGACGTCAAACAGGCAAATGGCTAAGTCCAGAGTTATGACAAGTCAGGACTAGAGAGAGAAATTTGGGAATATCTGTCTGTCTGTGGTGTTTAAAGCCATGAATCTAGATGATAGTGCCTTGAAAAAAAAGAAAATTTGAAGTAGGGTGGCTGGCCAAGCCTGGGCAAGGTTCAGCAGAGGAAGAAGTCTGCCAAGCAGAGGGCATGGTCAATAATGAATGCCAGTGAGGCTAACGACGATACAGACATGACCAGGGCTCTGGCAAAATGTAAGTCATAGTTGGTCCTATCAAAAAATAATTCTGGTGGAATAGGCAAGGTGGAAAGGCCAAGTGCTGAGGGTTGAAGAGAAAAAGGGAGATGAGAAAGGCAGGGACCATAAACTTTTTTTCAATTCTTACTGCAAAGGGAAGGAGAAAAATGGAGAAAGCAAACATTGAAACATGGTTTTATGCTGATGGGTGTAAGCCAAAAAAGAAGACTGATGAGAGATGGAAGAACCGCAGGATTCTTATCCTTGAGGAAGTGAAGGTGGGTTCACTTTGGTGAGGAGCCCAGATCTCTTGGTTCTCTCTAAAGAGAGGCACAGAGAGTGAGAACACATGCAGGCAGACAGTGAGTGGTGTGAGAGGGAGGGGAGTTGCTGCATGGTTTCCTTTTTCCTTCTTCCAGAAAAGGACTGTAGAGTGACAGGGAAGGAGTCTAGTAGGAGGGCTGAAAGGTGGTGTATGAAAGAAAATACACAGCATCTGGAGGAGCAGGAAAGGGAACGCACAGAGGGTCTATTAGGAAAGTCCCAGAGTGTCCATGTTGATTTGTGGCCATTAATTTAAAGAGATTAGCTAGTGCCGCAGCAAAGTTCAGCCACTGAGGTCCAGCCAGAGAGAACCAGAGGCACCTGGGATTATAGAAATAACATTTCTAACAACCTAATGCTGAAAGGTTTTTTTTTTTTTTTAAATTTTAAATCCTAGCATTACTTTTGGAGTAATGAACTAAAACTATAGCTAATTGGCATAGCAAACTGCTGGTGTAGTTTTAGATGCTAAACAACAATCCTTAGTCTTAGAACCTTTTATTCAGCAAAATCCTGAGCAAGTCAGCTCTGCTGTAGAGGGTTTCATGTGGTTTGAAAACATGTATTTTATGCTTCAATTTAGCTTAAGATTAAATAATGTAGACAATATATTTAAAAAAAGAATTTAAATGCACCTTCTTGGTGAGATGTGCCATAGATGACCTTTATTTTTCTGAAAGCCAGATACCACTCACTTCAGTCCTTGGCCCTCTGAAATAGGTTTGCTTTACCTTTTTCAACATTCTTACCTTCTCACTCAGATCTGATAAAACAGAATTTTAAAAATTCACAGTTGACAATATAGCAGGGGGAGATCTCTTTGCATAAAACACTAGGTCAAAATTGTATTTCACCTGTGAAGAACTGCCATAATAAGGAAACTCTTTCCTCCATACATTTTATGTAATTACACTAAATTCATTTCTGTAGCCAAACATAATTAGCTACCCAAGTTAAATACAAACATGTGGAAGACCTCCACGAGCTCAAATTCTAGCCTGGTAAATCAAGTATGAAGGCAGCCCTGAATGTCTGCAACAGAAGACCAGTTACTGAGCAGTTCCACTTCTGTTTCTGTGCACGTGCTAGAGAGACTGTGACTTACACTAATTCAAAAGTGATGTAGGAAATTCAACTCACACTGAGAGACTGTTTCTTATTTGTAGAAAGAAAATACAAACACTTCTGTTACATTGATTAAATCAGATACTATATGGATAGTACTTAGCTGATAAGTAG